ACACCGTTCATCAAAATTAAAATCAAAAACCGATACACAGAATTATGTATCTTAGTGTAGTCTACTTTTGTGCCAAGTTATATTAAAATCAGACAAAAACTGTAGGAGGAATAGCATTTTGAAATAATTTCACAGAAATTTCTATTTTTAGTAACAACGCCAATCGTTCATCTAAATCAAAACCAATACAAAGAATTATGTATCTTAGTGTATTCTACTTTTGTGCCAAGTTATATTGAAATCAGACCAAAACTGTAGGAGGAGTAGCATTTTGAAAGAATTTCACAGAAATTTCTATTTCTAGTAACCATAGCAACACCATTCATCGAAATCAAAAACCGATGTACAGATTTATGTATCTTAGTGTATTCTACTTGTGTGCCAAGTTATACTGAAATCAGACCAAAACTGTAGGAGGAGTAGCATTTTGAAAGAATTTCACAGAAATTTCTATTTTTAGTAACCACGGCAACACCGTTCATCGAAATCAAAAACCAATATACAGAATTATGTATCTTAGTGTATTCTACTTGTGTGCCAAGTTATACTGAAATCAGACCAAAACTGTAGGAGGAGTAGCATTTTGAAACAATTTTACAGATATTTCTATTTTTAGTAACCACGGCAACACCGTTCATCGAAATCAAAAACCGATATAGAGAATTATGTATCTTAGTGTACTCTATTTGTGTGCCAAGTTATACTGAAATCAGACCAAAACTGTAGGAGGAATAGCATTTTGAAAGAATTTCACAGAAATTTCTATTTTTAGTAACCACGGCAACACCGTTCATCGAAATCTAAAAACCGATACACAGAATTATGTATCTTAGTGTAGTCTACTTGTGTGCCAAGTTATATTGAAATTAGACCAAAACTGTAGGAGGAGTAGCATTTTGAAAAATTGTTTACAGACAGACGGACAGACAGACAGCTAGACGGACAGACGGACGGACGCCGGACGCATTACTATCGCATAAGCTCTTCTGGTCTCTGACCAGTAGAGCTAAAAATATCAATTATTGCCTGAATCGGATCAATTTACTACCTGTGTACTGGAATTATTCGCATCAAATGCATAACCGGAAATTGATCTCTTTTGATTGATATACACAACTGCTGGTTGTGCAACTGATTGATTAGGAGGCTTGGTTCAAGTGATATTAATTTCAAGTCTGTATCAGAAAATTTCATCAAAAGCAACAGGAGTCCATAAAACCTGCAGGAAACGAAATTGATAACTTGAGTTATATTCGGTAAGTAGGAAATTCAACATTTTGATGGAATTTTATTCAGTAAGAAAGTTTCCATACTTCCTAAGCCGAGTTACACATCATGATATAACTGAGATACGTCTACAATATTATATTCACTTGTCAAATTAGAATTGTAGATGTCTGAGCTTGACCCCCAATACCTATCGAGAGGAAGCTCCTTGTCTACCCACACTTTGCACCTCAGGTTAAATCTGTGACTTTACACTAGCCTACACATTAGCAGAAAGGAAACATGGACTCCATTAGAAGCTCACAAATGTAAGTTTTCATTACAAGAATTTAAAACTCTAAAAACAATTCCTAATTCATCTGAATCAGTGTAATCAGTGTAATTTGTTGACAGTAAAATTAGTTTTCACTTTTTACACCACTGAATTTAAAACATATCCTAGACACTTTCACATTTAAAAATTTCACTTAAAAAAAATGAATGATTTAGTTGAGTTGAAAAATAACTGATTCAGTTGAGGAAGTTTATTTTTTTATGATTTACATGTATGAAATAATGTAAAAATTCTTTTTTTTTTAATTAAAAAAATGTCAACTTTTTTTTTTTAATAAACATAAATGTTTATTAAGCTTATCAATTATGATAATTATATTATAGATTTACAAAAGTGAAACACTAATTATACACAAATATAAATTCCACTTTAATCATTCTCAGTGAGACAGCCATACAACGCATATCAGAGTCTGTGTTTGTGGGACTGTGTCGTAAAGTTGGGACTTCACAACTGGTGGCCATGAGGAGAGATATGATGGACATCAGGGAGATGGTGAGAAATAAAGTGACACCAAGTGATGAGTTGAGTATGATGCTGAGTGGAAGTTATGGAGAAGGACTAAGACTGAATGGATCAGATGTAGACTTTATGTACTGGCCAAATAATCACCATGTGATCTGGGAATTATCTCAGTCTCAGTATTACAACACACACAGACACACACTGATCCTCTGTGACTGTTCTGACAGTCCACCAGGATTTACTTTGTTATATTTACTGTCACCTAGCCTGTACAGAGAAATCTGGAGAGCGTGTGTTAGAATGAATAACAGATATTATGTATCTAGTTCTAAATACAGAGAGGTCTCTTTATCTGCATTTCAACTACCTTATAACACCACTCAACATGGACCCTGTGTCAGTGGAACACTTGGAACACTAGAATTTGATAATGCCCTCTGTTTTGTTAGTGACTTTTGGCCTCCCTCTGCCTTCCCGTGGATAGACAGATGTCACTCATGGCCCCCGCCTCATGTTGTTGATGATATAGTGAAAAATGGATGTCACTTTGTAGCAATTGGACATAGGCTAGGAAATCATGAAGATCATGAATGGAGAATTTCTTTCTCTCGAGCAGAACAAAAACTTGTATATGTAATGAATCACTGTCAATTCCTAACTTACTGCTTACTTAAATTGATCTTAACAGAAATAATTAACAATGGAGTAGGTGATGATGATAAATTACTGTGTTCCTATCACATGAAGACGGCAGTTTTCTGGGTGATTCAACAAAATACAATACCTCACTGGTGTCCACAAAATCTCCTGGGGGGTTTCTGGGTCTGTTTTAAACTCATCCTCAAATGGGTGTATGAGGGGGTCTGTCCTAACTTTTTCATTCCAGGCAACAACATGTTTCTGAGTAAAATTCATGGTGTCAAACAACATCAATTATTCATGAAACTGTATGCATTGTATGAGAAGGGTTTAGCATTCCTGTTACACAGTCCCTCCATTAGGTCTTCTATTATAGATGTCCTACATAACCCCAGAAACTCCATCTGTACAGATGATCGTACTCTGATTTCTGAGGCTGAGTTTGATAGAAATCTATTATATGAAATAATAAGCCTTTCCATAAAACCAGAAAAATGGAACATACAAAGATGCATTAGATATATACATACAATAGAACAGATGATAGGTTCACCCCTCCTGACACAGTATCAAGTCATTGTGCTACAGAACAGTACTGCTTGTATCCTTTAGCACACTTTTTTTTTATTACACATGAAAACTTACACATCTGACAACAAACTGAGTTATAGAGCTGACAAAATGTCCTGTCACATGCTGAAATTAACAGCCAAGTTCGGCTGTATTACAGACATGCTGTACATAGCCATGTATTATTACAAGACACTTAGATACATGGAAGCATTATCTATTATAGAGATAACCAAGGTCAAGTTAGCACAGCCATATGTGATGTATACATGTAACTATGTAGATGCAGAGATGTATACTGAGGCTGTAGGGGGACAGTCCTGGTCTACAAAGATGAGACAGGCTGTAGCAAGGGATATCCCACTTATCAATGAAATTCATTACATCATTGAATTGATACAAGAACAACAGTCTGCTCTACAGAAACCCTGGCCTGCATTAAACGTTCCACCCTTTATCCTGTTATACATGCTAGAGATCTTGTGCTACAGACATGTAGACACAATGCGAGCACAAACAGCTCTAGATGATCTACAGAACCTAGTTCACTATGATCAGGGACAGTTTATAGATTTAGGTCTCAGAGACATATCGTGGCAGATTCTGGGGATCTGTCAACAGGTGACAGGGAATCTCCAGGCTGCTCTATACTCATACCAACAATCTCTCAGACAAGAACCATACCAGAGAATACAAACAGCTACAATTATCAGAATTATTATTTTGGTGTACAGACTTTATTTCAATTCAAACAGCTACAGAAATGAGAATACAGAGAGTTTGCCAATGGATTCCCTTAATTAATTAATTGTCAGATGATATTTGTAGGAGTTCGAGGACAGAGATTATCATTTACATATCCTCTTCTGATTTCATATTTTCTTTTCTGTCTGTTTTATTACATGTATTATAAAGCTAATGACTAGTCAATAATAAAATGAAAGAGGCACCATTGCTTATCATAATTACAGTCAAACCTGTATTAGGCCAAACAAAAAAATATATTTTTTTACTGTTACATGCTGAAATAAAATAGAGTTGGTAGGTAGGAATTTTTTTTATTTTATTGAATTTTTTTATACACGAATTCACATGAATTGGTTGAATTACAAAACAGTTTTACCATTGTATGGTGCCTTTATACTTTTGTTTGGCTTGAAATATGGGTGTTTTTTTGCCAACTGTCTTACAACTCAGGGGTGTGCAATTAAAAGAAATCAAGTACTAGCCCACAGGCTTGTAAAGCAATAAAGTTACAAGCCCGAAGTCAAAAGTGAGCAGTCCAAATATACTACTAAGGGGCAAAAAATTGTAAAAACAAATATTGAAAAAGTGAATTTCCCATCTTTTAGGAAACAAGAAGTAGAGTTACCCTTCATAAAAATACCATTCAGCGTTTCTATTCTTATTAGGGGTACATGTACAATGTACATGTATATAAAAACATATTTTTTAATTAAAAATAATTCAAGTAATTTTTATGTACCATAATGAATTTCGCTAAAACAAAATGTGCAGTTATGAAGACAAGTACATGTGTATGCACGTATATCTGGACGTCTGAAATAAAAAAAAAAAAATCGATCGTCATGATATATATTGCCGATAGTACGTATTGTTAAATGAATTCTTGAATAAATTAAATTATTTATGGCATCATTGTTAATAAAACGATTACAATTTATACCGAAAAAAAATTTTTAAAGCAACTTTGCATTGTATAAAGCAGATATCATCAAAAATAATATTGTTTATATCGGCGTACTTTAACAACGAACGCTTTCGTGGCAAAGCCGTGACTAAATGATTTTTATTAAACAGAGAAAAAAATTATTGTAACACTTTAAAATTATTGTTTAATTAATTCTTATTTTATCATTTAATTGCATGTACCTTGTCTGGCTTTGCATGCTTTACAACATGGATAGTGTCAACTAATTAGCTGCGCTCCACTGACCACACGCACCTGTGGCAGTATATCGAGATAATTGACACTTAAAAATGGACGTTTGTTTTGAAAACGGTGGCGGATGGCGGTATGCGAATTTGGCGTTATAAAGAGAATTTTATATAGCAGGAAAAATGTTCTTTGGAAATCATGGTGGTATTGCAAAAATTGAGATGAATCGAATGGCGATAATTCGAGAATTGACTGTAGTTTACCTGGCTAGGAAATGTATCTCCCCCCATTCCCCTGTAATCTCTACACACTTTATTTACCTGACTAGGAAATGTATCTCCTCTGTCTGTAACTCTCCATTCACTTGTTTGAGGGCGGCTCCTGTCTTCCCCGACCCCTTGACCTCCAGATAAACTCCCTGGATTTCCTGGACGACCTTGAACTTGTGTTTGAATGGAAAGACCTGGGGGGCCTGGTAGTAGGGACTACTGATACTGACAGACACCGGGAAAATGTCCGTCATACTGAAGGAGTAGGTCGCTGTACTGGAACTACCATTCCTAAGTTACAACAAGATTGGTGATACATGTACATACCTATAAAGTCTACATTTCTATGAAATAAAAAACTACATTCAGTCTACTGTTTTTTTTTAGCAAAGGTGTTCTGTGATCAAGAAAATTAATAAAGGAATATACAAAGTGTGTGGCAGACGAAAATCATGAAAATAGTCAATCCAATTCGTTACAGAAATTGAATTTTTATTACAGAATCTACACTGTATGAAGTGAAAAATGATCTTTATGTATATCTTTAGTACATTGACTCTGTGCACAAATGATGTACTATATATCTATAGTACATTAACTCTGTGAAAAAATTTTTAATTAATGCTGGATTTGTCTTATTTCCCTAGCTGCTACCTTACTTTTTTGATTGTTACTAACATGACTTAATCACTACTGATTTAGACTTATTACCCTAACTGCTAGCTTACTAAGCTTAATTGTTAAAGTAACTTTATCACTGCATAAGACTTATTACCCTAGCTGGTCTATGGTGCCTCCGTCAGGATACTCAGAGAAATCCCAGGTGAAGGTTAGGTTATCTCCCCTGCCGGCGGTCACTCGGACAGTCAGTGGGTCACTGAGGGACACGATATAGACCCCGGGCAGCTCCCTGTGGGGGGACAGGATCTCCAGGGTAACGTCCCCGACAGCCTCCCCTACCATCACCGTGACATCACCCGTCACCCAGGAGACGGCATTAGACACATTGACCTTGACCTGGTACTGACCTTTCAGATTGTACTGGTGTTGTAGGACGGCGGTGTATTTAGGGAGATACAAGCTGGAGGTGGTATCTATGGTAACAACGACATCATCAGAGGATAACGAATCCTGAATTGCGTCCCCAAAATCCACATCAAACACGACGTCCCGACTTCCTGTGACCTGGACCGTGATGTCACAGACACGCCCCTCCACTGTAGGATCGGAGGTCAAGGTCACATCAAGGAGAGGGTATTGGATCTTCACCTCCTGTACTGCAAGTAACTTATCTCCAAGGTCATTCTGGGCACCCACTGTTAGTACAGTTGTACCAGGCCGGTCAATTTCTTCAATAACCTGTAAAGTCAATAACCTGTCAAGTCAGTATTTACGACAAAATCTTAAAATACAGAACATTAACTGCTCTTCCTGTACATGTAACACTGAGTGGATAAACTCTATGAACTAATTTTTAAAGTTTGAATCATTTTTACACTGTCATTGCAGCATGCCATATTCACTTATCCACAAGTTGTACAAGTAAGCTCCCTTGTACCACTTTTTAATATTGCTTTATTAATAAATAACACATTACCCAGTTAACAGTGCTAGCAGGAGACTGACGATTGTCTAAGGACCAGAAGTACAAAACCCCAGATCCACTCCCTGTAAAATCCTCTGATTCACCCCCAGTCAATTCCTTGGATCCACCCACGGTAATCTCAGCTTCAAACAGGTGCTCTCTGGAAATTCTGAAATGATTCATTATTTCTCTTTTTAATTTTGAACTTCTGAGTAATATTTTCCTTGCTTACTTTTTTTGTTGAAAAAATGAATACCATAATATTATATAATTAACAATTTATGTCAGTAAGAACATGAGAACAAGTTGACAGGTAACATCATCTAATATGTCATCAGAAAATGGAAGTCTCTGATGAGACAGTAGCTCTATAGTTGTTACAAGGAAAGATAGATTATATAAGTACAGCAGAGCTGCCAACATTCTGCAATGACAAATAGTAGGGTGGGGTCTAGAGATCACCTACACCCCCTGCCGCTGAAGATGTTTTGTAAATGGACATGCAATCTGAGGCATGTTTACAGTTTGTTTACTTTAAATATTAACATGAATCTGATCAGCATTCTAAAACCAAAATGATGATACAAGCAAGCATTGTAAGAATCATGAATATATTATAATAGTAGAAACTATAGACTGCCAGCTATGAAAATACCGGCATTATAAACTTTGAACAAGAAAAACTGAAATCGGAAGAATAAAGAGAGGATTCCTAATTCGTAACTTAGACGCTGATTTCATTCACCTTACGCCAAAATCGTAAGGGTTGGCAGCTCTGGTACAGCCATGTGAAAAAGTTTAATCAGACCAAAAAAGTATGGAATTTCTGATGAAATAGATCTGCTTTAAATTCAATGCCCGATTGGCAATATACTTTGTCAAATCAAAAACAAAAATTTACTACGTGAAGCTTAAACAGAACAGTATTTGAGTCCTGGTTCTGGTGAGCTAAATATGTCAATATGGTTCTTTCAAAAATCTTGAGGATAATTACACCTGTGAAAATCCTGCGACTACACACATGCTTAAACAGATAACAAGATTTCCAGACATAAATTAAGTTTAAAAAGTCCACCCACCTTGTTATAGAAAAAATGATAGAAACAATGGTGAGAGACAGTTATTAGGTTTGCTGACAACTGAACATTTTTGTTTTAAAAATATTACACTTAACCGAAAACACAAAATAGCAATAAAAACTGCAATTCTAAGGAAAAAAAATAGAGTTCACCTTAATCACCCTGTGGTGTTTCATTTCACCTCATATATTGGGGCTTTCTGTTTTTTTCAACATATTTTTTCCCCTGATCATCACCACATGTTTATCTTTAGAGAGAAATATCTGTTTAAAATTGGAATTGTGGCACGTGGCTTCGTGCTTCATCAATTAAAGTCTAATTACCAAAACATCTCCTTAGAACGGCTGGTTTGCTGGTTCTAGTGTGTGTATTCTGAAGAGTGCTGGGTTAATACTTTGTTAAAATGTTTCTTGTTCAATAATTGGTTTTCAACGTAGGTGAGCTCCACCCAACACCTGCACCTTTCACGTACTTTTTAAATTTTTATTCCTAGCACAATTTAACTTCAATCCACACTTTTTTTTGGTGCTATCTCCCATTTTTAATTTATGACACTTTTTTTTGGGGGGGGGGGGGGGGGGGGGGGGGCAGGGGGTAGGGGATTATTAGTGTGGGGATTTTTTTTTTGTTTTGGTTTCCCGTCTCTGATTTTTTTTTTTTAAATTATAGGAATTAAGGTATGTTAAAAATCAAGTCTGAAAATTTCATTATAATCGTTTTCATTATGTTTTTAATCTTAAAAAGAAATTTAACATAACATACGTATTTTAAAAAAACTTCATTAAATAATAAATACTTGGACAGAAATATCCCCCCTCCCCCAGAAATGATTCACTTGTCCTGGCATCAGAGCTACAGGATAAGAACCATTATCTAACATTGTGTAGTGCTGGAGTCAGACTCATTGGAAAACTGAAAAGTTGATAAACAAATGAAAGCTCCAATGCCTAACCACTGCAGTTAAAGCCTTTGATTGTTATTCTTAATTTCATCCATTCCAGTCTCCCTATAAACAAACCCATCCTGCCGGGGAGATTCTCTGTACAGCTGCCGGAGGGAAAAACATTTCCTTACTCTACTTCATTGTTCAGAACAATGTTATTTTTTACCCCTGAAATCCAGTAAGATTGATTCGTATTTCACCTCTCTTTAAAGAGAAGTCTTTTGAAGATTACGTAATTTGTTCTGTGTTTTAATGTTAATCTAATCAGAGTGTAGCTACAGATTTCACCCTCCCTACACGACAGCTCAGAATCATCGAGTGAGAGTGACTCGGTACAAACTGATCCAGCGAGAGAAGAACTCGAGCTGATGTCTGTAGACGACCACTTCCTGTTTATAATTGTCTGCTCATCATCCTGTAGTCAGAAGCTCAGGAATGTCTGAACCTACATAAATCTGTTATATATACCAAATTCTCCCTAATGTTAGATGATTGAGGTAATTTTATAACCTTCATGTTCAGGGTACACCTTCAAAAAATAAAGAAGAGATTGGAACAGGTTTCATTGCTTTCTCTTACTAGGAGTTGAAAAATGTCTTTCATGTTCAGTTTAATGCCTTAATGAAATTAGGGGGAATAAACAAATGACAAATTTGCCACATTAATGTTATAATTGGTTATGGCACCATTTTATGACATAACCTCTAATCAAACATTGGATTAAATCAAGAAACATTCCGTTATACCCCTCTTAAAAACATTCTTGCTAGATTGATGATAATATACCTCTTAGTTTTAATGAATGATCATAATTTACCCATCAATAACAGTAAATTAGAATTTCCCTGTGTTAAATGATTGATTGATTGTATGTTGTTTAACATCCCTCTCAAGAATTTTTCCCTCATATGGAGACACCAACACTTGCTGGTTGAGAGCTTCAAATTTTGTCCTATGCTCGGCACTCAAGGCCACTGAGCAGGGAGGAATCTTTTTTGTGCCAGCACCTACCGGTCTCCACGTCCCACAGTGGGATTTGAACCCACGATGTAAGGATTGACTGTTTTATATAGATCATATCTATGCAAAGAAAGTACATGTAATTGTTTGTTTATGTGTTTCTTTGTGCACTGTCCCTTTGAGAATTTTTCACTCATATTAAGACGCCACCACTTGCAGGTGGAGGGTTTCAAATTTTGACCTATAATTGGCATCAGCACCATTGAGCAGTGAAGGATCTTTTTTGTGCCAGCATCTACTATGACACAGGACCTCAGTTTATACGGTCTCAATATGGATTCGAATTATAATGATTGATCAAAATTTACCTGTCTATTTTGATGACACTGGGAGCTCTGATGGTCAGTTCCTTTAACTTCTCCTGGACAATGACAACACTGGTGACCTCTAGGTTACCCCTACTGACTGTGTGAAGTACGGCTGACACTTCATAAATACCCGGCTTATCATAGCTGTGCTCCCATCTAAAACATTACAGTGTTATATTACAATATATTATAATGTTACATTACAATATTATAATATTACAGTACAATATTACAGTGTTACAATAACACAGTGTTACAGGGTGTCCCAAAATAAAAGATACCATTTGAAACAAGAGGCCCAAGGGCCACATCGCTCACCTGAGCACTGTGGCTAAGAAAAAGCAGAATTAGTTTATACTTGAAAAGCTTAAATCCAAAAGTAGTCGTATGACCAATCATGGCTTTGCTATTCTTGAGAAGATTTTTAAAGAATTTTCCTATACATTTCTATGTAAAACTTTGGTCGGCCATTTTGGCCCCGCCCTACCCCTTGGGGTCATGATTTGAACAAATTTGAATCTACACTACCTGAGGATGGTTCCATATAAATATGATCAATTATGGCTTTGCTATTCTTGAGAAGAAGATTTTTAAAGAATTTTCCTATTTATTTCTATGTAAAACTTTGGTCGGCCATTTTGGCCCCACCCTACCCCTTGGGGTCATGATTTGAACAAACTTGAATCTACACTACCTGAGGATGGTTCCATATAAATATGATCAATTATGGCTTTGCTATTCTTGAGAAGAAGATTTTTAAAGAATTTTCCTATACATTTCTATGTAAAACTTGGTCGGCCATTTTGGCCCCACCCTACCCCTTGGGGTCATGATTTGAACAAACTTGAATCTACACTACCTGAGGATGGTTCCATACAAATATGATCAATTATGGCTTTGCTATTCTTGAGAAGAAGATTTTTAAAGAATTTTCCTATTTATTTCTATGTAAAACTTTGGTCGGCCATTTTGGCCCCGCCCTACCCTTGGGGGTCATGATTTGAACAAACTTGAATCTACACTACCTGAGGATGCTTCCATATAAATATGATCAATCATGGCTTTGCTATTCTTGTGAAGATGATTTTTAAAGAATTTTCCTAGTATATATATCTATGTAAAACTTTGGTCGGCCATTTTGGCCCCGCCCTACCCCTGGGGGTCATGATTTGAACAAACTTGAATCTACACTACCTGAGGATGCTTCCATATAAATATGATCAATTATGGCTTTGTTGTTCTTGAGGAGAAGATTTTTAAAGAAATTTCCTATACATTTCTATGTAAAACTTTGGTCGGCCATTTTGGCCCCGCCCTACCCCCCATGATTTGAACAAACTTGAATCTACACTACCTGAGGATGTTTCCCCATAAGTTTCATCTTTCCTGGCACAGTGGTGCTTGATAAGAAGATTTTTAAAATCTGCTACCAAATTTTCATTAATTCCCAATTATCTCCCCTTGAATGAGGGAGTGGCCCTTCATTTGAACAAAATTGAATTCCCTTCACCCAAGGATACTTTGTGGCAAGTTTGGTTGAAATTGGCCCAGCGGTTCTTGAGAAGAAGTCGAAAATGTGAAAAGTTTACAGACAGACGGACAGCTAGACGGACAGACAGACAGACGGACGCCGGACAAAATGTGATCAGAAAAGCTCACTTGAGCCTTCGGCTCAGGTGAGCTAATAACTGTCAGAAACACTTGTTTTACCAATATCTCTGATATATGTACACTTACTGGATGGAGGAGAAAACCACTGCTTCGTCTTGGTCTCCAAACTTGACCTCAATAGTGAACGCCTCCACAGGCACACCCTGTATAACACAGAAGTAGTCAGTTAACTCAATAATGAACATCTCTACAGGCACACCCTGTACAAAACAGAAGAATTCAGTTAACTCAATAATGAACACCTCTACAGGCACACCCTGTATAAAACAGGAGTCAGCAGGTTAGATTAATAAATTTTCAAATGGGTTATTCCCATCATATAACATAACTGTATAACTCTGATGGTGGTTTATCTTAAACATTATCATAATTTCTTAATGGGCAATTCCCATCTTGCCTAACTGACACTCACCTGAATTTTGAATTTGATTGGTTGATTAAAGAACTAAAGATTTGATTGGAGTTCTGGGTAATACCCATAATGCCTAACAGACCCTTACCTGAACTTTGAATTTGATTGGTTGATTTAGAGCACTGAAGATTGGATTGGACAAAGCTAAAGGGGAATTCCCATCATTCCTGACTGTGAAGGTCATAGACAGAGCCACACTGTCAACTGAAATAATGACAATTGTTTTTACTATCAAAGAGGAACAAAATTGATTGAATATTTTATTTGTTGTTGATTGTTAAACATTTTCAAAGGTCTGTACATTCATTACTGCTTTTCTTCATGTTCATATAGGCAATATAAGATCATTTTAAGCTATTTTGATACCCAGAGTTTAGATTCTACATTCTTGGATCTTTTTAATGACATAACTGCTGTTATTGATCAAGTACAAGTTCCTATAGAAATACTGACATCATAAAAACCTGACTGTCTCGTAGAAACTGTTCTCCGAGTTATTAACTCCAAGGAGGAAGTTAAATAACATATTTTCCGTCTGGCTTCTATGACGGCGGATTTAGTGACTATAACCGAGACTTACACCTTAATTCTGAAGATAAACCTCGACTTATTATCAGAATCCAAAATAGGATCTTTAATTACAGTATCGTTTTAATTTTCCTGTCTGAATCGATTTCAACCTCAATATATCTAAGAGCTTCTCTCCAAATCAGTCATATATCACTTCTCATAAACCCCCAAAAACTGTAATAAATATTTTTTTAAAACATGTAAATTTATTGACTCTATTCATTTTTTTTTTAATTATTTCATGTTGAATCTTGTTTACAGAAAGAGAATTTTATAAAGAAGCCAATAGGCCACTAAGCCTTCCTATGTAAAACCCTTAACTATTTTGACCACTAAATCCAATGCAATTTTATTTGGTGAACTTCTATCTTTGCATTTGTTTATTTTGCCACATTCTGTTTCCCTAACTATGTTGAAATCCTTTATTGTAGCCCACCTTTAGGACAGGACAAAATTGACTATTGCTATCTAATGTTGCCTTATGTTGCCTTAAAACTGACTATTGCTATCTAATGTTGCCTTAACACTGACTATTGCTATCTAATGTTTGCCTAATGTTGCCATAACACTGACTATTGCTATCTAATGTTGCTTAATGTTGCCTTAACACTGACTATTGCTATCTAATGTTTGCCTAATGTTGCCATAACACTGACTATTGCTATCTAATGCTGCCTTAACACTGACTATTGCTATCTAATGTTTGCCTAATGTTGCCATAACACTGACTATTGCTATCTAATGTTGCCTTAACACTGACTATTGCTATCTAATGTTGCCTAATGTTGCCTTAACACTGACTATTGCTATCTAATGTTGCCTTAACACTGACTATTGCTATCTAATGTTGCCTTAACACTGACTATTGCTATCTAATGTTGCCTAATGTTGCCTTAACACTGACTATTGCTATCTAATGTTGCCTAATGTTGCCTTAACACTGACTATTGCTATCTAATGTTGCCTTAACACTGACCATTGCTATCTAATGTTGCCTAATGTTGCCTTAACACTGACTATTGCTATCTAATGTTGCCTAATGTTGCCTTAACACTGACCATTGCTATCTAATGTTGCCTAATGTTGCCTTAAAGCAATATGATCTGCATTTTTGAGAATTTAATTTTGCTGGTAAAGTGTGTTATTATGATTAATTTGTATGAATTTAAACCCCTATGACCAATAAGCCCAAAAATAACGTTTCAAAATTTTTCAGAAGTAATATTTCTATTCAACACATGTTCAACCGAATACACAGTATAATATAAAAAATCATTATTGTACAGGACGACAATAATTCAATTTTGCTTCAACCAAAGCTAATAAAAAATATTCATCGCAAAAATGAACAACAGAAGTTTATTAATGTTTTAATTTTTCTGTCATAGAAATAGTTAATTAAAAATTTGCAACAGAATTTTCCGATCTCAAATATGCAGCTCATATTGCTTTAACACTGACTATTGCTATCTAATATTGCCTAATGTTGCCATAACACTGACTATTGCTGTCTGGTGATGCCATAAGAATGGAATAATAATTAGCCTAATATTGTTAAGAAAAATTTTAAAAACTTGTCTTTATGAATTTTAAAGGACTGATACCTAGGTTGTTAACGGTAACGTTGACAGTAAACACTCCTGATTGGTCGAACACTCTGGACATGGCTGGACTTCCACTGGTCACTTCATGTCCGTCAGAGAACGTAAATCTGTAAACCAGGTCATCTCGCTGGCAAATACTTCCTACGAAACAAAATAGAACGGTTGATAGAACTTTTACATTCTACCAATATTGAACATACAAACAGTTGTACTTAACAATCTTGAACACTAATACATGTACATGTAGTGTGAATACCATGGATATGTCAAAGTGTTATAGAAATACTAACCAGATATTTGTTGCTACTGTAAATTCTTTATATTTTTTCTGAGACAGTTCTTATTATCGTGAGATGGCTCTTTTACATTAAATCTAATAATCATGATAATTTGCAGTGGATGGTTGATCAAGAGAATTTACATGGATTTCAACTTCATAAAAATAAAAGCAGGTATTTTATTTTGCGAGTGTAACAATGCTTCTCGCGAAATTATATTAAGTTAATGTGAAGAATTTTTTCCAATGCTAAATAAAAGCCATGATTTCTTTTCCAAGTAAGAAATCTGAGTGTGTGTATTTTTATGTACAGATACAGACTTTAGTTGGCAGCAGACCTTCATGTAAAGTTCATTTCACTTTCACGTCTGGGCTGGCAATTTTAGGATCTGTCAATCAAACCCTCTAACTCCTAATTATATAAGTGATTAGGTAATAAAGTTTGACATTTAAAAAATCATCATCTTTCATCCATTACCATGATTACAGAATTTTGATTTCATCATTTCTTATAGCAATTTTTTTTTCATCAGCTTCCAATTGATTGTTCCTTAATTTTATTTTATTTTTCTGGCAAAGATTTGTAAGACATTGTAAGATTTTGCAAGTTTGCAAGTTTACTTTCAGAAATTTTTTTAGAAATCTTTGTGGTAATTTAAAATTAAGCCTTTAGTTGTTACATCTCTATAGTGAGTACTGTACATATATTGGATCCCCAGCTATATAGATTAATTAAGGAATTCCTTATATGGATATAACGAATAACCTATTTCAGCCCCTGAGATTTAAAATTACACAAGGACCCCAATGTCAATTTCAATAGTCCCCGCCTACTGACTTCAAACACTTAGACAGCACCATGAGATTTACAAGCATATATTAGGCCTCCTTAGCTCCTGGCCTATCGATTGGCCAAATTTACATTCAGATAGAATGATCAAGAAATCAACTTTACTAACCCTCAAACAGTTATCATACAGCAAAACTTGGTTATAACGAAGTCGCGGGGACCTTAGAAATTACTTCGCTATATCCGTTATTCGTTATAACCGTACAAGAAATTCATTAAATCTATAGATGGGGATCCAAAATGACTTCGCTATATCTGTGAATTCGCAATATCCGTGTTCGTACTAAACTGTATTAGAGAAAACAAATAAAAATGGAAGTATTTTACTATTTCATATTGAAATCCTACCTTCTTCGGTAACCATAAAGACAAGAGGCGAGTTGACATGGGGCTGATTCTGGTTCAGTTCCAGGGATAATCCGTTAATCTGCCGCTGGACCAACACATGAGTCGAAAACTTCACTTCAGATACGTCATTAAATGCAAAAACAACCAAAGTATGCTGTCCCTCTCTAGAGAATCGTAAGTTCACTTCATACAAATCTTCCTCTTTTATGTACAGAACTTTGGCTGTCTGTCTGCCTGTTCCCAGATCAAATTCTAATCTCACATGACTCCCCCCACAAGTTTTCACCAGAAACAGAGTGACCTCCCCTTGCCTGACCACACCCCTGGGGTAGGCGGACCGTTCCCTCTTCATCACGACACACTGTATCTTCTCCTGTATCTGGACGAGGCTGTCAGCGTAACTCGTGAGTTTACTGACCCTGTTATACACAGTGACGCTGACATTGTATGACCCCTTATTATGAAACGTGAACACTGCCTCCGATGAGAGATTTGTATTATCCATCCTGATTGGCTGGACTTCAGACCGCACAAAGTCTGTGTTGTTTGGCTGTACACTCCAAGTGAACTGTGCATGACTGCCTTCCATTACGTCAGCTCGACAAAGAATAGGTTCCGATTCTGGGTAGACAGGTCCCCTGTCACACTGGACGTACAGGTCTGACAGGGGAACTAAGACCTGGACATTAGTGGACTCAGATAAACTACTGAGTCTGTTCTGTGTCAGGGTAGAAATATGGTAGTAACCAGGCTCAGTGAAAATGTAGCTCAGCTTTAATGAGCCCTGGATCACATCCAGTGAGTTGTTATTTTTAGAGATAGTCCATGTAACGTTCGCAAATATGGAGAATGGTTCACACTGCAAATCAAACTCACACGCTTGTCCAACAGAGCAGATTCCAGGGGAGACGATCTGGGAAAAACCCAGGCGCTTCATGACCAGTAACTCAGAATCCAACTCTGCGATTTCAGAAAAGTTACCACTGAATATTCTGGCTGTCGGTCTGTACATTGCCTCTTTTTCAAAAGCGTGTTCAAATCTAACATTGAGGAGGCATCCTATTCCGTAGGTGGCGGTCACGAACATTTCTCCCAGGGTGCAGTTCAGAGCCAGCGTCTGTCCCTCTGTGTCCTCTAACGAGGCCTCGTGTGTGTGACCGTCCAGGGAGTCAATGATCAGAGTAGAGTTGAACCGGCTGTGAATTTCAGCCTGGATCAAAAAGCCTACCGCTGTTCCAGAGGGAACAACATGAGAATTGGAATCGGGATCCACCAATGAAAATTTGAGATCGGAGAGATTCCGCTGTATCACAACCTACAAATTAAAAATAAAATGATAATTAATAACATTTAATGAAGGAGATAATTTAGAAAATTCTTACAACATAAACTGCTTTTTTTAGGATATAACTTTTGTAATTAGTAAATAAAATGCTCTTCTAAGCCAAATGGAAAAATATTTAATTTAGAAATAACTTCAGAAATTTTTTAAACTGCCTCTGATAGTCAAACTTTCAGTGTACAAGCAAAGCAACTATTCCGAGTTTACTTACTAATTTTCCTTATTATTTTAAAACTTGTTCATTAATTAAACTGTATACTTTACCATATAGCAAGTTTTCTTGGCGGGGTGTAAAATTTGGCGTTTTTCCTGCTCATAGCATGCAAATAATTTTAGAGTAATTTATTTTAGGGGACGCAGGGTTTCAACTCTGCAGATGGACACTAAACAGAGTACTAGCTGACTTTTTAGTAATTAAAATTTCATCTATCTATCATCAAAATGCCAAAATTAGCACCAAGCTTAAAAAAAAAACGCTATATGAAAATATAAGCTAGCCAGTATGTACAATCAAGTCAGATAGTCTTACCACATAAATAGACTTGCTCTGTTTTCCCCAGCGATTCTCTGCCGTGACCCATAGCTGATGTACTCCTAAAGACTGGACCACAAACCACTGTAAAATAGACAACAGCAAAATAGGAATGATTTTTTAAATAACTTTATATATTAAGGAATTTTAAACCTTAAAAATTGCATGTGATATCGTGATTGTCTCTATTTCCATAGATTTAGAGGGACTTTCAACAAACATAAGACAACTATTAATAGCTAGTTTCCCCCACATAAGGATTGACTCATGATTATTGTTGTTTTATGCTAAAAATCGGCCATATTTCAGTTGTATTTCGGCACTCCTAGATATGGACAGAAACAGTCAGAGTAGAATGGTATGCAGTTTGTTTCTTGAACTAAACAATGTTCTAATTGTTTCATGTCTACCATTGCCTGGAAATTCATCTAGGGTAGGGTGGTGTAATTTCGACCGATTATTTTTATGTACTTAAGATTTTTTTAAAGTATGTCACTGTTATGTTATGCTACAACTTTTACTGGATCCATTTACCTTCGAAATACTTTTTATCATTCATATTACATTGATTTTATTTATATTTTTTGGTCAGAATATGAAATAAATGCGTTCGATTTACAAGATATGTATGTTGGGTAACTTCGACCGCACACAGGGTATTTTCCACCGATGGGCCAATACAAAAGAAATAATTGGCGTCAGCTCTAATATAGCTAAAAAAAATATGAATTTGAATATTTCTGCTGTACAGCATAAAATATAGAGTAAAAATCCTGACCAAAAAATGACAATTTTCAAAATGTACCTTATTCGAAGACATCGAGTGCACCAGATATGTCTATGACGCCGATATACTAAGTGGTTAAGGCATGCTATAAATGTACATGTACAGGCATCTAAACCGCGTGTAAATAAAACAAATGATTTTTTCACTATTGAAGTACTAATTTCTACCAGGTATTAATATACATATTTCTTTTCTTAATATTTTTTTTCCGGACGGCCATGAATTATTTCTGGTGACAGATAGTAAATTGCGTCATTTAACATCAGTCGAAGTTACCCACTGACGCTGTATTCAGGTAGGGATAACTTCGGCCGATTTCTGTTCAGCTAATTTTCAATTTAATTTGTAAAAACTAAATACTATAAACTAAAAGCGTATGAATTATATTTTCAAAATAATATTTGATAAACGTCACGTCAGGGATATCCATTGATTGTCTTTCCATGCAAGATTTTTCTGAAGTGATAGTTCGCCGTAGTGACAAAAATATTCTCGTCTGTAATTTTTTGGGTGATAAAGCCTGTTCTTTGATGTAATTATCCAATAACGATCTTAATAACGCTCATGGAAACAAAATTATTTTGGACACGATATATTAAAAATATGTTTTCTTTCTGAGTAATATAAATGTTCATACACAATTATACACCAAAAACAAAATATATGTAATGTATTTTTGAACGGTCGAAATTAACCAGGTGGTCGAAATTACACCACCCTACCCTAATGTATAAATTAACTGATCAGCTTCAGAACAAAAAAAACATCATCCCTAAATCCTCAGTGTATACAAATCTTCTCTTGTATAAACATTCGGCTATTATTCAGTGGGATACAGATTTAGAACTAAAGGAGAGGGAGGCTGCTAGTGCATACAGACAGCTAAAAAAAGGGACACCAAAGCTCCACCATCAATCAATAACATTCCTTATCTTACATCACTCCTCAATATCAATTAGATCCAAAACACAAATGGAAAGGAGTTTATTTTTCTCTTGAACCTAATGCTCTTTCCACATCAGTGTTCAATTTATCATATTTCACTGTATACTGGCAGTTGTAAAATAATCTTAGTCCATTATATTAGGGTTCAACTGTACTGTCACATAAATGTGGTTTGTGTTCTGCATATCTGGGTTAAACTGTGAAATCATTCATGAAATTCCCTGAAATACAGTAAAACTCGGTTATAACGAAGTCACTGGGACCTATGAAATCACTTTGCTATATCCGTAATTCGTTATATCCATATAAGGACTTTGTTAATTTTATATAACTGGGGATCCAAAATAAATTCGCTATATCCGTAAATTCGCTATATCCATGTTCGTACTAAACAAGTTTTGCTGTACAGTAAAACATGCTTACGGCCAACACACCATATGAATTTTTGAAAATTCTCTAATGACTTTGTAATCTTTATAGATATATTAAGGAATTATTCTTTAAAGGACAGATGATACAAAGATTTTTTTTTTCTTTGGAAGGACTGAATACTGTAAAACGAGAATATTTGGCGCACTACTAATTTTAGCGCCTTTGGCGCAAGAGCCCCTGAGCGCTAAAATTTATTGTGTGCTAAAGGATTTCTAAAAATCATTTTTTGTGTGTGTTCAACGCTTTTACATAAGTACATGTAAAACGGAACGCGCGATCACGTAATGTCAAAGGTCAATGGATTATATATACACACTAGCACTGCACTTGTTCGGAAGACAGAAAGATCTGTCAAATTATAATTTAATTGAACTATTGTTACCCCAGTAGTTGTTACCCGATTATTATCATTAGTACCTTCAAAGTTTGGCTTCTCGGCGTGTCAATCATCTATCGCCTCGAGATAAACAATGCAATCAAGCATGGCGATTGAGCTTGCAGACCTGATTAGGATTACCGTTTTATGTAAGTTATTTTCTGTCGATGCATGCATTGTTTTAGTATGATTTAAATGAGTAAATACTCCATTTCTTGTAATTGAAAATAGAAATAAAATAAATTTTAACATTGTGCCACGTCCATGTGATAGCAACACGTACCGCGGTAAAGTTAACGAATGTTTACTGATATACGGGAGTACTTATGTGTTTCCGTGCTTAACTAACCAAAACGTGACTAGTCAAATACGGTGTGGATAATTAAAAACCCAAATATCACATTTTACTGACAGGTGCAAGCGCTAAAATTTATTTGCGCCAATGCATTCCCACTTGCGTTTCCGCTAAAATACGTATGCGCCAAATTTTCTCGTTTACAGTATCATGTCACAAGTTTAGAAAAGTGGATAATTCTTAGAATTTTTCTCCTAAAAAGTGAAAAATGGAATAGACTTGGAAAATATTACTAATATTTCAATAACCAGAAGTCTCTGTCGAGACTGAAGCTCTACTGGTTTGTACTTATAGCAAAGGTAGAGAAAAGTTCTTAAGCAGTTGGGAATTGAAACATTACAACAGCAATAAAAAAATAATCATCCTTGATTAAGTCTCTTTATGTTCTTAGTGTAGTCTACTTGCATGCCACATTATATTATAATCAGACTTAAACTGTATTTGGAGTAGCATTTTGAGAGTATTTAACAGAAATTTCTATTTTTAGTAACCAAAGCAAAAATGTTCATCAAAGTCAAAAACTGATACACAAAATTGTGTATCTTAGTGTAGTCTACTTGTGTGCCAAGTTATATTGAAACCAGACCAA